AGTATTAGTACCTACTAACTCTACTATCGTTCTACTATTACGTACTATGGTACTACTCCTACTTCTTATATATATATATATATATATATATATATATATTCATGTATTTTCTAATCTCCTTTATAATTTCTTTGGTTGCCGGTAGGCCTATGCTTTGACATTCCCAATAATAAATATTTCCACAAAGAGACAAATAACACAATTTTGATCATTTGGATTTCGCCCAAGCTAATCCGAGTCGACAACCCAACCAAGATCAGAAGCAATCCAACAATTTAGAACAAGAGAAATTTCCCACAAATGTTTTTTTTATTTATTTTTACTATTTTATCATGAAACAATGATCACTATTATTGTCGCGCATAATGCATCATTCGGACGCATTTTAAAACAATTCGTCTGTGTATTTTATCTATGTTTCATAGCATGTCTTGTATTAAGATTAGGTGGAGCATAACTTGTTTGACAAGACATTCAGTGAGTACAGCCAAAATAATAGAATGGTACAGCTAAAAACCAGAGTGAATTTATTGGTACTTTGGGATCACACTGGTGCATCACAATACAAGATTTTTCTCTTTCTTGATTAAGTGCAGTTATCTCATAACACGTGTTATATTACAACATTCACCATGATCCGGGTGGATTATCTATGGTGCAAATAAACATATCGGTGCAGAAGCATCTGATGGTAACATAAGTGTCGGAGAACATGAATGCCAACCATAACTTGTCAGACATTGGCCTATTCATAACATGTGTTTTTACGGGGAGGTTAAGATTTTGTTGGCATTGAGTATTTTCAAAAGGAGATGTCAACAAGAAAGGCTAATAAGAAGTGTTTAGTGCCTGGTCCTGAGTGTTATATGGTATTTAAAAAAGGAGATGTCAACAAGAAAGGTTAATAAGAAATGTTTAGTGTTTAGTGCTGGTCTGAATGTCATGTCCTTGGTATGTTGGTTTATATTAAAAACTTATGGACATGCATGTCTATGCTACCTAGATGTTTATTCAAACAAAGAAAAAGTCCGGTTAGTTTAAACTACAGACATCAGGCAGAACTCTAATGATGTAACGATAAAATTCAGTGACATTAAAATGCCTCAATCTTCAACAGTTGACATATCTGAGAAACGCACCAAATGGATGAGTTCTTAGGGACCTGAGATTACTGCCCCTTGATAGGGATGTGATTATTACATAATCAGAAAAAACAACATAAGCTTAGGAAGGGGAGAGGTTATTCAATCGACTCTCAGCTCAGGGATTTCATATTGAGAGCTCTGTTTTTGATATCAGAATTCCATCACTATCCGCATACAACCATTCTCCATCACGAATCAACGTACCGGCAATGGAAATTGGCACATGCTTCTCACCCACGCCTTTCTTATTGGACTTCAAAGGGTGAGATCCCAAGGCTCTCACCCCTATATCACACCCATCGATCTCATCAACATCCCTTATGCAACCATTAACCACAATGCCTGCCCACCCCATATTTTGGGCCAACTGTCCTAAATTGCCCCCAACTATGGCACACCTCATGCTTCCTCCTCCATCTATAACCAGTACTCTTCCATCTCCCCTTGTCTCAAGAAGATCTCTAACGAACACATTGTCTTCAAAAACCTTAAGAGTGGTAATGGGCCCTGCAAACATTCTACAGTGGCCGTAGATTTTGAAAATTGGTTGAAGAACTCTCAGCTCTCCATTCGCTATGAGTGAAATATTTGCATCACAGGCTTCAGCGGTTGCCAAAGGAGTGGCCATGGAAGCTTGAGAACCACCTCGGAAGTTTATCACTAGAAACAGAAAAAGTCGTTCTCTGTGTTAGAAACTGATAGGTATAAAAAAAGGATTTAACTATTTAACAGTGGCAAAGGACAAGCTGATGGTAAAAGCAAATCAGAAAATAAATTAAAACATACAGGTAGGCCGATTTTTGGACTTCTTTTGGATTTTGCCAGGTAACAATGCTAGTAACCAAGTCCAGAGCCTTCCTTAATCTTAATATTCAAAGTTTCAAACCTTGAGAGACAGTCCAATGGCCTCAAGTTCGATGGGTTAACACAAGGTTTTTTTGAGGGAGGTCAAGAGTTTGCACCTCAACTTTGTCCTCCATCCCATCCAAGATAATTAATAGAGAGAGAGAGAAGAAGAAGAAGGAGAAGAGGGGAGAGAGAGAGAGATGGGCAAAAGACGGAAGGGGGGGGGGGGAAGGAAAAACAAGAAATAGCACAAAGCCAAAGCCCCTTCTTCACCTTGTTGCTAGTATTCCTTGTGAGATTATCAGAGCATAAACTTCCAGACTTTAGAAATCAAGATGCTTATGGATTTACATCTATGTAACATGGATATGTGTCCATGGTTTTTGGCTCGTGTCCACTCACCAAGGACATGAAATTTGTGTTTGACACTTTCTAATCTTGTTTTTGTTGAAATCTCACTAAAGAAATACCTATTGTCACCTAAAATCTAACCTCCTCCAACGTACATAATATATAGACAAGTCGTGTCTATATAGTCAGATTTAGGATTTAGCTTATTTGACACTGTTATCTATATCCCTATACGCTAAAAAAAAAATTGCCTTTGCACTTCGTGAACTAGATTCTACATTTGTTCTTAACTAAGTCTCTTGTCGTACTGTTTATTCGTTTTTCATGCTGGTTTTGAGTTTTCTACTCTGTTAGTTCCATGGATGATAGCTATGTAGTTATTTGTTTACTTTTGGGTGGGTATTGTGAAAAGCTAAACCAATATGCAGGATTGTAAACCAAGGATGTGAACAGAGCCTAGAGCATTAATATAGAATGATCTACACTTGATTTAATTAAACAGCAAGTTTGTTAGTGCCAGAAAAATGAGTGTCTCCCTCAAATTTTATGGTGACCTTTGCCTTAATTTGGGCATGAATCTCTTACTGCATAGATTCCCATAGCATATAATTAGTCAGAAAATGAAGCACTGATAGCTTCTGAATTAACTAGCATGCATGTAACTCTAAGCTCTCTCTCTCTCTCT